TTTTTTTGGTCCTTTCCGTTTTTGTTCTGTTTTTATATTACTTCTGCTTCTTATCTGGGAGTGCGTTAGAGAAATACCGGATGCAGGACCTCGACCAACAGGCCAGCTCCATGCACGTTGACCAAACAGCTCCCGAGCGCATTTTCATAGTTTGGGGCAGCCGTTGCACATTTTCCGATTTGCCCATTTTCCCGCACTCTGTTTGCTTTGTGCGCCGGCAACGTGAACGTGACTTTGACTGCGAGCAAAGCGACGGAAGCGGAAGCAGATGCCAGCCCAGCCATTGAGGCTAAATGCCAATCCATGAATATAGTTCTTAAGCTCAATTTAAATTGAAGCCAAAAGGAACGATAGATAATCGAATTGAGAAATTGAACATATTGCAGTGAAGGACTTAAGGGCAATGTAGGCTATTGGACAACAAACTACGTATATGAATCCAGCAATTGAATGAGCTATATATTTATATCCCCTCTGCGCATGCTAAGCATTTGTCGAGCTCTCACATTCATACAGGGTATCTCTGTCTGGCATCCGAGTTCTAAGATATTTACACGCTGTCAGCAATAGTTGGCCCTCAGCACAATCAATTTACAATCGCAATGACTAGCCGAAAAACTGCTCCACTCGCCAATCACTGTCAATTAGCAACGCCATCAATTTCGGACCAACTGCAGTCGCAGTTGGCGTCCAGGGCAAGGCGAAGACCGAGTCACTCGATGCGTCCACTGGGGGGCATCAGCCTGGCATGGATGAATGGACCAGCATGCGGCCGAAGCAATTGAAATGCCATTGACTTGCAGTGAAACATAGCGAACTGTCGAGACAATGCACTTACGTAATACCCTGTAAAAAACTGCATGTGCTGTAACTTTAAACTATCGAAAGTCTACGTGATGGCCCACAATCAAATGGTCTTTTCAACCCGATTAGCATGGCTTGGCACCTTAGAGATGAGCTACAGTAGGCACTCAATAGTTGCTCCTGCTGCTCATGAGCATATCGGAGCTGTGCTTATGCAATTGTCGCAGACCCTGCAAGGGTATAAATATGTCATCAATTGAATTTCTTACTTGACTATCAAGGCAATGGTCATAAGCATTTAATACTCAAGTAGAGAATTTATAGCACATTTGTAAGGCAATATTGCTCTACAAAATACCCTCGAAAATCCCACACAAACAAAATTCCCTCGTTATTATGCTCACAATATGCTCAAGCTTAACTGTAAAAGGTTT